ATTTGGCTGGAATGAGTACTGTTAGACTATATATTATGAGTGTTGTTAAAATGTGCACCTATATTATATATATTAGAGCAATGTAAAAAGTTGATAAGTCTATATTTAGCTGCAGAACTAAAGTTGTTGTCCTGTGTATTAAAATCTCACAGAATAATAGGGTAAAGGTTTTGTTGTATAGCAAGTTGTATTCAATTAATTATAGTATTTTAAATATTGTTTCTTTTGAATATATTAGTAGAAGAAAAATAGACAGAGATAATACAAAGTTTGATATTACTTTTAAAGAATAAATCAATAGCTACAGCATCACTAGGATGTGTAAGACAATTATGAATATGTAGTAGAGGAAGTTACATATCATAATAGCAGCACCTTCTGCTAAGTTGTCAAAATTAGCCCAGAAGTATGTAAAAAAATTGTTGTTGTAGAAAGAAAGATTGGATTTTTTTGATATTTTGGTTTTAGTAATACCAGCAATGCTAATATTGTAGTCGAAACAGTAATTTTGCCAGGCTTCTCTTTTAGTAATTATATTGAAACTACGAATATTATGTGTTGCAATATTGAGGTGTAAATCTCTAATTTGACTATGATCTTGATTAGAAGGACTATAGATAGAAGTATGATCTGTAGATGTTAGAGGTAGTGTAGATGAGCTTGAAATATTATTAGTAGAATTTTGCAGTAATGAAAGTAGATCTGCAGGTAGAGATTCAAATTCTTTATCAAAAATTGCAGGTGATAAATTAGTGATGTATTTGTATATGATTTAAGAGATATATTGTATATATCTAATGTTAGTAGCAGAATATGATTTGCTAATAGTTTAGTTTGTTAATAGATAAACATGTGCTTCTGTCTTGTCTTTAGATAGTGAGATAGTAGCAAATTTTTTAAGATATAGTGCATAGATACCAATGTGAGAGTAGAAGGATTATAGAATTTAAGGTCTTTTAAAGAGAGGAAGTTTGTGATATAATAAGTATTTATTATAGTATGCATTCAAATTATAGGAGTTTAAAGATGTTGATAATGATTTGGATAAATAGTCTTCTGCAGAGTTGTTCACTGTTTTAAGCCTAGTTCTCACAACCACAAAGAGTGCTATAGTCTGTTCTATGCATTAGGTTTAACCTTCTCTATCCTGGTTCTCCACGTAAATGGACTTATCTACCTGTTCACTTATATTATTCTCTTTTAGAAATAGCCCACAGTCTGTAGAGATTGTTTGTGACTATTAATAATATATTCTATTATATCTAATTATTAGTTGGTGGCAAAGCTGACACATGATCATGTACTAGTCTAAAAGATAATAAAGTGTGAAGTTTAAAATAAGATGAGCAAAGCAAAGCTAATAGTTATGTAAAGTTATTATTTAATTATAAGTCAGCTGAAATCGCCTATATATACAAGTTCTAGTTATTTAAGAAAATAAATTGAAGGTTAAAGTTCTAATAAAGGGTTTATATATAGTAAAAATAAACAATAAAAGCACTACTTTGGTCTTGATACTAAAGTAATACTAAAAAAAAAATAAAATAGTATGAATAAAAATAAGAAAAATCATGTGTCAATTATATAATCAGAATATCGATCAGTATTAATTCAATCACATAAAAGAGAAAGCAAAAAATCTTTAATTATTTCTATTTATATGCTTATAACAAGTAAAATAAAAAACCTAACTAGATTTTTCTTGAAATCTATTTTTAAATTCGACTTGTAACTTTAATAAACCTATTTGAGACTTAATTCAATGGCTGAATTGCTTGCAACTTTAATTCAGCTTATTAAGACTTAGATTTTATAACAATTGTAGAATCAATAGTGCTATTTATGTTGGTTACTTGTGGGGATTGTGGTAAAGAATGAGATCCAACTGTTACTTATGGAGATTGTGTTAAAGAATAAAATTTAATTTTTGATTATTACAAGTAAAATACAAACCTAACTAAATTTTTCTTGAAATCTATTGTTGAATTTGACTTGTAACTTTAATAACCTATTTGAGACTTAATTAGATGGCTGAATTGCTTACAACTGCAATTCAGTTATTAAGACTTGGATTCTATAACAATTATAAAATCAATAATGCTATTCATATTAGTTACTTGTAGAGATTGTAGTAAAGAATAATACCTAACTATTACTTATGGAGACTGATAAAAAATGAAACTTAATTTTTGATTATTTTATATAGAGTTATTTATATGCTTATGACAAGTAAAATATAAATCTAACTGAATTTTTCTTGAAATCTATTGTTGAATTTGACTTGTAACTTTAATAACCTATTCGAGACTCAATTAGATAGACTGAATTGACTTGAAACTTCAATTTAGCTCATTAAAACTTAGATTTTATAATGATTGTGGAATTAATAGTGCTATTTATATTGGTTATTTGTGGAGATTATAGTAAAGAATAAGACTTGAGAATGTAGTAAAGAATAAGACTTAATTTTTAATTATTTTATATAGAGTTATTTATTTGCTTATAACAAGTAAAATAAAAAACCTAACTGAATTTTTCTTGAAATCTATTTTTGAATTTGATATAGAATTTTAATAAATCTATTCGAGACTTAATTTGATAAATAAATTAACTTGAAACTTCAATTTGGCTTATTAAGCTTAGATTCTATAATGATTGTAGAATCAATAGTGCTATTCATGTTGGTTACTTGTGGAGATTGTGATAAAGAATGAGACTTAATTTTTGATTTTTTATATAGAGTTATTTATATGCTTATGATAAGTAAAATGTAAAATCTAACTGAATTTTTCTTGAAATCTATTGTTGAATTTGACTTGTAACTTTAATAACCTATTCAAGACTTAATTTATGGCTAAATTGACTTGCAACTTTAATTTGGCTTATTACGACTTGGATTCTATAACGATTGTGAAATCAATAGTACTATTCATGTTAGTTACTTATAGAGATTGTAGTAAAAAATGAGACTTGAGAATATAGTAAAAAATGAGACTTAAGAATGTGGTAAAGAATAAGACTTAATTTTTGTTATTTTATATAGAGTTATTTATTTGCTTATAATAAATAAAATAAAAAACCTAACTGAATTTTTCTTGAAATCTATTTTTGAATTCAACTTGTAATTTTAATAAATCTATTTAAAACTCAATTTGATAGATAAATTGACTTGCAACTTTGATTTGGCTTATTAAGCTTGAATTCTATAACAATTATAGAATCAATAGTACTATTCATGTTGGTTACTTGTAAAGATTGTAGTAAAGAATGAGATTTAACTGTTACTTATAGAGATTGTGATAAAGAATGAAACTTAACTGTTACTTATGAAGATTGTAGTAAAGAATGAGACTTAATTTTGATTATTTATATAAAGTTATTTATATGTTTATGACAAGTAAATATAAACCTAACTGAATTTTTCTTGAAATCTATTGTTGAATTCGATTTATAACTTTAATAACCCATTCAAAACTCAATTTGATGGCTGAATTGACTTGCAACTTCAATTCGATGGCTGAATTGACTTGCAACTTCAATTCAGCTTATTAAGACTTAGATTCTATAACAACTGTAAATCAATAGTACTATTCACATTGGTTACTTGTGGAAAATACTTGCTTATATTAGATATATTATTAGTATATTTTAGTACTTATGTGTGATAATAAATACTTGGTTTCCTATTTTAATACTTTTAATCCTGAGCTAAATTGAGAGTGCTAATATAAAGTCTCTTCCTAGTTATAATACCAGCATTGCCTTAAAATCTATTACGCCATAGGATCTTACAGACATTTATATCGGATACGTATCATTTCACAGACAATCATTTTACTGACAATTCATTTTACTGACAATCAATTCACTGACAAGTTTATTTCAACAACAACTATTTCAACGACAGCTCATTTTACTGACAAGTTTTTTTAAAAAATTGTACTAACCTTAACTCTAATTCTAATCTGACTCTAACGAAATGACCAGAATTACTTTGTTGGTGAAATGATTGTTGATAAAATAACTATCAGTGAAATAAACTTGTCAGTGAATTGTCTGTCAGTGAAATGGGCTGTCGGCGAAGTAATTGTCGGTGAAATAAGCACCACCCATTCATATCTATAAAATTATATAATTTGCTTAATACTTTTATTGCATTACTTCAATTTCAATACTTCTTTGCTATATAGTAATATTCTGCTCAATTAAACTTCTAAGAGTTATAAAAGATATGCCTATTTACTGAATATTAAAATTGGCCTGACTCTATATTTTATTATTTGCATTCCCAATAATAGTTACAATATAAAGCATAATATTCCCTAAAATTGTATATTGCCAAAAAATTTGCAATTGATAAGTATTAATTACAATTATGAATTAATTGCAATTAATTACTCCACAATCACTTATTTTATAAGCTGCCTATTGTAGTCTAGAAAACTTCTGGTTATTATGACAAAAAAAATTTATATCTCATTCCCATTCCTTGTACAGCTACTTAAATGATAAAAAATCACAATATTAAAATTTTATATAAAACTATTTTTAGCTATACTCCTTAGAAGCCTCTCGCAATGCAATTTTCTATCCTGTTTTTGTAATTTCAACTAAATCAAGTTGTTCATCAGTTAATTTACAGATCTATTTAACTTGAATAGCTTAGTCTTAGAATTCTAATAAACATACTAAAATTTCATCATCTGCATTCTCAACTTTGTCTATTTTTGTTAAAAATTCATCAAGTTTAGGAACAGATTTTAAATAAGTTGCAGATGATTCTTGTAACATTAAATTATTTGTTGAAGCATATAATGGCTATAGATTAGGAAAAATTAAAAATAATATGAAATAGAGTTATGAAGAAATATTAGGCAATAATTGAGAAGATAGTGTATATAAAGGTGGTATTTGTAAGAGAATATTTGGCAGCATTTGTAAGAGAATATTTGATAACATTTGCAAGAAAACATTTGGCAACATTTGTGAGAAAAAGTTAAATGAATTTAAAAAAAAATTATTTAATAGTTGTGATGAAAATTATTTGTTTGCAAAGGTATTTGTAAAGTTACTTGTAAGGGTGCTTGCAGAAGTGATTGTAAAAATAGTTGTGATGACGATTATGAAAATAGTTGTGATGATGATTGTGAAAGTAATTGTGATGATGATTGTAGTGGCATTTGCAATAGCAATTGTGATAAAGAATTAACTAATAATTGTGGACAATTAGATAATACTTGATTTGAACTAGGCATCTCTCTTATTTTAGATGGCAAAGTAAATATTGCATGACTTGGTGGCATATTAATATCTGCTAATCCGTTCATTTTATAATCAAAAATTTTATAATTTTAATATAATTTACACTCTAGGTGATATTGCTTTGTATATAAAGAAATAGCAAAAGTGGGTAAATATAAGGATGCTTTCAAGGCTTTTTTGATGTATATTAGATTTGTAGCGCAGATTGTCTGAACTAAAATTAGATTTCACAATTAGATGCAATGTATATGAACAGAAAATTCAAAACAAATTTTCATTGTTAAAAATCACTTATTTCTTGAAAAATTATATATAAAACTACTCTTCTTGCACTAACAAAATGTTTTCTTTGAGTAATTTTACTATAAATTTTCTATCCTAACTATAATAAGCTCTAACCTTAGTATAAATAAGCTTTGAAGAATTTTAACTGCACTATAAGCCTGGTACACATTATTTACTAGCTAATTATTTTAAGAAAAATGCTTGAGAACACCCAAACTTATTATAAATAAATATAAAAAATAATAATTCTTACGATTAGTAATTGTACTCAGGTCAAGTATTACTCGGGTTATTCGTAAGTAATCAAATAACTGGATAATGACTATAGCTACTCGAGTAGGTACACCTGGGTAATACCCGGGTAGGTACACCCAAGTATTATCCGAGTAAGTATACCAAAATAATACCAGGATAAGAATACTTTCATATAATTGACTAAATTATCCAGTTTTGTGAATATATACAGAGATTATACCCGGATCGAGTATTACCCAAGTTACCCATAGTTAACTAATTACAGCTGTTTTCATAATTTCTGAAACATCTGATAAAAATTTGCTGAATAGTTTTTTGTCCGATCCGGTTAAGTTATTGAAAAGTATCACATATAATGTATTTGTCTTTTATATATATGTAGGGATAGGGATATATCAGTATATAGGGTGGAGATTTGCGTATAAATATATAATTTTTGTTATGTAAATAACATTGTCCAGAACTGGTAAAGTCAGCCAAATTTTTGTAATGCAGGTTAATAATCATGTGTCACTACATTATTTAATGTAAAAGTTATGTATGTACATACGTACAATATGTATAATTTGTAATTTTATTAAATCTATTATGCCAAAATAATAACTTAACTGAAACAGCTGAAAAATCATTTGGCAGATTTTTTATCAGGTGTTTTAGAAATTATGAAAAGCGGATAATTACTAAAGCTACCCGGGTAGATTCATCTGAGTAACATCCAGGTAGATTCACTAACAAATGTAAGATTTGATTGGCTACAATAATTTATATAGCCAATTACATAACAATTTACTCAGGTATAACAAGTAAAATTTTATACTCAGGTATATCTATTGATTACTTAAGTAACCCATGGATTTACTCGCTGGTTAACCGAGTAATGTTTTTTTGGCCGAGTACAAACACTATTTACGATTGCTCAAGCCTATATTGTATAATGTATACCTGTTAATTTAATATAACCAATTTGAGTAACCTAACAAAAACCTTCACAATTAACACAAAAATATTTTTTACAGATTTGTGTAATAGTAAATGCTATAATATGTTTCTTGTCATCAAGATGAGATTCTTTAGGTTTTTTACTAAATAATTGTAGCTTTTTCTTATTTAAATTATCATTATCTCTATTAGATTTCTCAGTTCTCTAGAATAATCAAATAATTAATAAATTAAATAAGAAAAGAAATACATTTTTTTAAAAAAAAAATTAAGCTACCAATTTGCATAATCATTTTTTATATTACTATTATTTCACATTTGAATATTAATAAACATTTCTTTTCTTTATTAGTAGTTTGATTATAATCTTTAATAAAACTTTCAAAATCTCTTTCATTAATAATTTGAGTTCTTGTGTCAGCTTCTTTTATCACTTTATATACCAATACATAATCATTTTGAATAATAGCAATATTATTTAGTTGGAATTGAATATCAGAAAGTATTTGATTATGAAATTCGCTACAAAAATCTGCTAGAATAGTTAATCGTTAAGCAGATAATGTAATATTATCCTAAGTTTTGATATTTAGTTTGAGTAACAATTCTTTGCTTGGATATTTATTATTTTCATTATCTAGCTTATCTAACTGTCTGTCAAATTATTTAAATTTGATTCTTCTAAATTTTCAAATAAAAGATTTTTTATTTTAGTATATACTGGTATATCAGGATTTTCAGCTTCGAATATGTTGGTAATATGCTATTTGTATCAAAAGTTGTATGATTATCATTGGTCTCTGGTATACTAGTAATATACTTATTTATATTAAATATTATATTTTTAGTAAAACGAATAGGCTTAACTGGGTCTGATTTTGTTGATTTGGCTTTACTCATACAATATTACTTGTTATTGCATATGGAACAAAATGAAAATTTAAAATTATACATAAACTCTACATTATAATTATATTTTTGTTTGAATTTTCTAGAGCTTCAATTTGTTTGTTATTAAATTTTAAATTATAATTAATTTTAAAAGACCAAGAAACAAGTTTTGTATAATTTTTTGTTGTAGGTATTATATTTTTATCACATTCATATGAAAATTTTGAAGAATCTTGTATGCAGTAAAGACATTTTGTATACAGGTAACAAATACTTATAAGGTATTCAATATCATCTATAATAATTTTATTAAGATGAAAAAGAAGCTTTATTTCTATATTAGTTTTTGCTATACAAATACAAATAAATCGAACAATTACACACAATCATATACAATCGATTGCAATTGAATGCAATCAAACAATCAGGATGTAGCAATCTACAAAATTGATCAATAGCACATTAATTTGCAAATAGCGATTAATGACTACAGTTAATCATATATTCTCTTAAATATAATTATTAAGTAAACAGAATTACATGCTGGTAATTAATTAAACAATTAAATAATATAGTTAATCATATATTTTCTTAAAACACAATTGTTTATGGTTTGTAAGATTGCAGACTGTAAATAATAATTAAGGACATTACCAATTACAACCTAGGTTGCAACCCTAATTACAACTTATACCAAAAGTTGTAATATATCATAATGGTTATAATTGTCATAATTCTATAATGGTTATAATTGCTGTAATAGATTGTAATTGCCACAACAATTATAAATGAGAGATGTCGTCTGTAGTTTTGGTTCCAAAAAAGAATGGTAGAAAGAAGATTTGTATCGACTATTATAAATTGAACTCTGTAATAGAAAAGAATATTTATCTACTGCCTAATATTAATGAAATATTAACTGTGTTTGAGAGAGCTAAGTGGTTTACTAGCCTTGATATGGCTAGCAGATATTAGCAAATAGCCATCAAAGAAAAAGATCAGTCTAAAACTGCTCTCATTACAAAATTTGATACTTATAGTTTTAATATAATGCCATTTGGATTGTGTAATATGCCATTAACCTTTCAACATTTGATGAATAACATTTTTGAACTCTATATTAACAAGTTTGTAGTAGTATACCTGCATAATATTACAATATATTTTAAAACTTTTGAGGATCACATGAAGTATCTTCTACAAGTGTTTAACAGAATTGCAGAAGCAGATCTGAAATTAAATACTAAAAAGTGTTTATTCTTTAAAAATAAAATCAAATTTTTAGAGCATATAATTAGTACTGATGGAATATTACCTAATGATAATAAAATTCAAAAGGTTAAAGACTTTTTCGTTCACATCACAGTCAAGAAAATATGATTATTTTTGGGTCTCGTATCATATTATAGAAGTTTATTAAAATATTTGCAAAAATCGCTAAGCCATTAAATTTGTTTTTGAAAAAGGATAAATTATACCAATGGACCAAAGCTCAAGAAAAGACATTTCAGACTTTAAAAACTTATTTAATTACATCTTCAATACTGCAACATCCTAATTTTAGTAGGCTGTTATATTTTCATATTAACGTCTCTATTTTAGGATTGGGTGCTATATTAGCATAATTAGATAATAATAATAAGAAATATATAATAGTATATGCAAGTTAAAGTATAAATTAGGCTGAGCAAAACTATTCTATACTAGAATTATAATGTCTTGCTGTCATCTGAACAGTTGAACATTTTTATTAATATTTAAAATCCAAGCTATTTTTCTTATTACAGATCATTCATCATTATAATGACTAAAAACCTCAGAATTAAAAAATAAATGGGCAAGATGGATCTTTAGACTGGAACTATATAATTTTATTATTATTTATTTATTTTTTTTTTTTTAAGATGAGGTTTTGCCTTTATCTTTATTTAATAATTTGTATTGAGAATCCACAAGGGGTTTCTCTGGCCAAAGCCAAATTT